ACTATATATATCGAATCAAATCACAGTTTGTCTGTCAAATCATATAAAACAGTTGTTAATTGCAAGGTAATGTTTTGCTACTCTGGCAAAATATCTAGAGTGTTATAAATTAATCCAAAGTGTTATACATTTTCCACCAGTTTTACCAATCGAAAATAAAATTGCACTAAAAGTGCATTAAAAGAGCATCTAGTGTAAAAAAATTACCCTAGATTTACATATCGTAAACACCATTAATTACGAACTCACCACCTAGCAAACTTCGCTTTTGTTTACAAATAACTTGAGGTATTCAACCAGGCGAATTTCCCATCACGTATAACAGTTAGCGTGTATTTGGGAAATTTCTAAATGCCTTGCGCTCGAAAATATGTCAAATGCTGTTCGTTTCTTCTTCTTTCTACTTCGAACGCGTTTTGTGTGTGTTAACTTTCCTCAACAAAAAAAATTAATAAAATTAATTTAGTTTTGCTTTATTTTAATAAAACAACGAAATATATTTTGTTATTTAACGAAAACGGAACAACGCGACACAAATAACACAAACGCAAAAATGTGGCCAAAAAAATACGAAAACAACGAATTTTAGTGCTAGAAAAATTGATGTGAAGAAAAAGTAAAAAAAAATCAACTTAAGAAAAATATCGAGCCAACTTTAAGGCGTACGCCAGTGAAAGTTTTCTACAGATTTTCTTAAGATAAAAAAGGAAATTGTTTCTCAAACGTATATAAATACGTATAATAAAATAAAATTAAAGTTGCAAATCGAAATGAAATAAAATAAGCAGAAAAGTGTTATTACAAAAGTGACGAGTGATTTCCATTTTGGAAATAAAAAAAAAATATTTTGTTTTGGTTTCTTTTTGAATTTTGTAAGATTTTTTTAAACATTTATATATTCGTTTTTATAAAAAATGAAGTAAACTACTTAAAATTCTTGTAGTGTATGGCAAGCATAAAATGTAATAAATTTAGAGAATTTTTCAATTTGTAGTGTCATTAATCAGTTTTAACGCAGTTTCCCATTCGCCCTTCTCCTCCGTCACTTCCTGTATTTACTTGCAACTAAGCGTAACCAAAATAATGCCATAATAACATTATTTCAACTCCTCCACAACAACCCAAACCACCCATTAGTTAAACCAACTGTCAGATCGCAAGCAGTTGGGCTATTTGAGTAGAATCCCGAAGCCCTACACATTGTGGGCAACATTAGTATTTTTTTGTAATTTTTTTTTTTTTTTGCTATTTAACATTTATACCGTAAAATGCTACCACTGTGCTTTATTATGAGCACTTTTTTGCCCTACTAACGCTTAATTATACTATTTCTGTTGAGTTGCTACCTTGAATCATTGGTTATTATTAATCGCATTACTTTGTACGAATTACACTGAAAGTAACAAAATATGCTTTGAAATATTAAATTATTATATATAATATTAAATTATATAGTAAATAGTTAAGGTTAATGTAATTGTAATCTAAAACAATTATATACTATAAAATATATAAAATAACTTGATTGTAATGCATTGTAGAAGTAGGAGAACTGGTGCGACTATCGCTTACTAATATTACTTAAATGACAAAACCACATATAAACACGCTTTAAAATCATTATCGAGCATAGATTATTGCTATCATCAGTATTTCTGTCAAACTATTGTTTAGCGCGACTTCGGTTACCCGGACATGCAACGTACATTAGTAGAATCACCGATTTTGTTCAACTTCTCACACTAATCAATATATCAATATAGCGTACTTGTCGAAATATTAAGTTTAAAACTTATTAAACTTTTAGATTAATTACACTAACATAACGAAAGTATATACGCCGTCTAGTGCCAACAAGAATATACCAGATGGCGTATCTACTACTTGTTGGTAAAAAATTTAACTTTAATGTCCAATATCTCCAACACCAAGCATGTTTTTACTAAAATCCGTTATCGTATAGACTTGCCAGTATATCGAAATTGTACCTATTTTTCCTTTAGAACAAAGCAGTCTTTATAGAGTGATTCTATATAGACGGCTTATAAGTCTGTTGCGTTTTCTTAGAAGTCTTGTTATTGGGTGTTGCCTAGTGATATATGTAGAGGCCTTAGTCAATAGTCAAGAGTTACCCAAGCGTTACCCCAATCACTGTAATCATATTGATTTAAGTAAGTTTTAGTTTTCGATTGTTGTTCTGGTTTCCTAAAAATCACCTTCTCTCTATATCTTTTTACCTATTAAGAATGTAAGAATGTATGGATTAATAGACTATCAAATTTGCTTAAAATTGGTGAAATTGTTATCATTTTACCATCTAATTTGTGTGTTTTTGAGAAAAGAACAGTATGTCATAGAATTATAGGTAATGATTAGTATATGGGTACCTAGAGGATAACTGATACAGCTTGTGGCTATACCATCGCGTACTATCTGCTATATAATTGCTAATGTAGTCACGGAGCTGTACCTGTTTTGACTACTGATCTTATATACAGAGGTGACCTCAGTAACCACCAGATTCTGAAATATAAATAACTGATACTTTGTTATGCCTACTAACTCATTCACAGATGCCTTATAGCATAAAACAACTTTAGATTAAGTATACGGAAGGTATGAAAAGATGAGTAACGATTAGAAAAATAATTTAATATTAGTTAATAAGTCTAAGTGGATTTACTAGGGATCGACGGTATAACCTAAGCTAACCTAGTTATTCATATATGTCTTTTGAAGAATATGTCTACGTCAAGTTTGAGGGATAGAACTTTTGTTTGATATATTCCTTATTTTGTTAAAAATCAGCAAATAAAAATCATGGCAGTTGAGATTGAGTAACAATTGACTTTCGCAATATATTTTAGCAAAGTACTTTGTATCAGTAAGAGTAGGAGAGTAGTATGTTATGCAAGATAATGTGACTAAATCTAAAAAACGTTTTTTTACTTAATGTTTTATGGTGTATAACTATTTTCAATTACAATATAAAAATGTTTTCATATACCTAAATATATCTTACTGCCACTATGACTGTTGTCTTTACCATATATTGTACCAAAAATCTATCGCATTCAGATAAAATTCGTTTACTTCTCTAATACCTAGCTGCTTAGTATATATATATAAATTTTTAAAGAACTAAAAATTCTATGTGGTTAGATAATTATATGCTTCCACTTCTTAATAAAAAATTTGTTTTCTTCTTCCATTAATAATTTATTTTTTATGTCACTATATTTTATTAAAATTAAATATATATTCTCCTACGCCGGTCATAATAAAAATATCTATGCATACCTATTAAATATAAACACAGAACATCTATAATATTGAATTATAATATAGTTGCATACTTTTAGGAGTAAAAAAAATACATTATACATTCTAATACATGATACATTCTGATAAATGTATCAGAAATATATAATTTTTACACGTATAGTTAAATATGCAATATATAGAATTAACTAGTACCGAAAATCTTAAATATTCAGATAGTAAAGTTTGATCAAGGGCAGTAAGTAGTGGCAAAACCTTTTTCTCAATAAACTTAACACTTTTGATAAATTTTTTCAATTATTGAACATTAAATATTTTCTAAATAATTTTACTTCTTCAATCTAACACAGCAAGTCCAATTTACTGTAATATTTTACGCTCAAGTGTTATATTTATGCTGCCTCTTGGGCGGAGTAGAGTGAGGGTGGTGACTATGTAAACGATTTGTTATTTTCCTTAACATTTTTGTTGTTATTTAGGTGAGCTTATTACTAATATTCGTCTCGTATATGTGAATGGTACGCTATGCTTCTTTCACTTCACTCCTCCACATTTCCGGCATTTCGCCAGCTATGCGCCAGCTCGGATATCCTAGCTTACTCCTACATGTTGACATTTTATAACGCGTTGCCGTAAACAGAAGACTAGTCGTAAATGTGACACCGTTCATAGATAAAGTTGATTTTAGTTAAAGCTCCGTTAAATCCAAACCATAATCGAAGCAATTCATCAATTATTTGCATTTTTGCTTTAATTTCAGTAAGATAATGTAATTTGTGCTTATACAAATAATCAAATAATTAACGAATTTTAATCAAAAAAAAAACAAAAGAATAAAAATAAGTTCAATATATAAAACTTGAATATTTTGCATTTAATAAAACATTAGTGTAAAATTTAATTAAATTTAAAACTTAATTTGGCAGTAAAAATTAAAAACAATAGTAAATAGTGTAAATTAGATAAAAAAAAAAAACAAATTTGATTGCAGTACTTTATTGTAGCGCCTGAAAGTAGACAACAACTTAAAGGAAGTAAATTGAAACGCCGCAAACTCTCTGCTTGCTTTTTCTACAAGGAAAAGAGCAGGAGGCGCGTTTCAGTTTTAAATAAAATATTCAAAAAAAAAAAAAACTTTAAAAAATAAATACATTTATTTTTCATTGTTAAACGTTAAAGTAAACAGCCTCAAAATTACAGAACAAAAGAATCAAGTTACACGCGCTATGCCCGAGCAGAGCAACGATTACAGAGTCGTTGTCTTCGGTGCAGGCGGCGTGGGAAAAAGTTCGCTGGTGTTGCGCTTCATAAAGGGCACATTCCGGGAAAGCTACATACCGACCATAGAGGATACCTATCGTCAGGTGAGTGCGTATGTTAATGACAGCACAGCAAAGATGTGGCAACAGCTGCATAAATGTTTTTTAAATACGTATCACGCATGTGTGGGTGTGAGTGTGGTGGGTGCGGCAGCGCTTTGCTAGTATTTGTACCGCTTACAACTAAGTACCACTTTAGTAGGCAATTATATTTTGTTTTGTTTGCATGAATTGCTTGTACATTTGTACAATTTTATTATGTTTCTGTTGGTTTTCTATTTTTTTTTTCGATTTTTGTATAACAAAAGGATTTGATTTAATGTTGAAATAGCACGAAACAAAAAAACAAAAAAAAAAACAAAAAAAAATCATTTTCAAAACAATTAAAGTCTATTTTTATGTTGAGAATAATAATTTAATAATTTGCTTTATTGTTGTGTTTCCTATAATTTGGTGCTACGAAAATGGTCGTAAGAAATTATTAATATTACTAATAAATTTAATTTTCTCCTTCAAAAGAATTCCTACAAATTGTGTTATGTACTCCGTTTAATATTATTGTGTTGTATACTTTTAGGCTCGTAATAGCGTTTGTCCTTCAAATTTAGCTGTTATTTTATTTGTTGCTCTTGTTTTGGTATCTGTTGCTTGCTATTTTTAATTAAAACCTACTATTTATAAAGGACGCTATACTTTGTGGAAACGCTCCTTGCCACCGTGGCGCTGCCCCTTTCGCTAGTAATGCGTGAGTGTGTTTTTAGTTATAATTAAACACGCAAAGGCTGGCATTACATAGCAACGCGTAGGAGGTTTAATTTAAACCTTTTGTTAGAAGACGCATTGAAGCATAAATTTCCTCCGTACACTTTACTTTTTTATTCCATTTTAACCGCTCAACTTTTGTTTATTTTTAACAAATACGAGTATTTCTTTGTAAACTTGATTATTTGTGCAAACTATATTTTTAAATATTTTCTATAATTCATCCAGGTGTGATATTTTTAATATTACGCTTTTGTGTAATTGTGTAATATAGTTAGGGATCTAAATTCTTAACTGATGCATAAATATAAATACTATTCATAGATGTTGGTTAAATCACCTTTAACATTTCAACAACGTTAACATAATAATGCGTTAGGAAATAGATTTTAAACGTTTTAACTTTTCCCCTTTTGTCTTCGCTTACAAATGATTGGAATGATAAAAGCTACTGAGAAAATAAGTTGTGGGCATCAGTAGATGATACTCTCAAGTCTTGTTCATCCATTATACAAAACGAACCCTTTGTTTACTGACCTTAAAGTAGTACCTATTGGCACTTGTGGTTCTTGTTTTTATTTCCAGGTAAGCGTCGTTGTTGCTTCAAAAATATAATATAGTCGCAGTCACCAGTTCGGCGTCCGAGCAATGCACATATCTGCTAGTAGCTGATATAGACTTTATGTTGACCTCATTCATCGCTATTTTTGTAAATTCTTTTTGGGTAGCAACAAAGGTGCCAGTAGTTTGCTACGCCCAATGATGTCGGTATTGTTAGCAAGAAGCAATTCTTTATCAAATCTCTTTATTGTCTTTGCACTGCCAGTTGTCTCTCAAAATTTCTTACGATTTTGACACCATTTTTGTATTCCATCTCATGTTCAGTACCTCTTGCACCATTTTTTTATTCCATCTCATGTTTCAGTACCTCGATAAAGGGAAGACTCAAAACTTTTGGGATCCCTTTTCTAACTAGATAGGCTAACTAGTTATCATGCTCTAAAGTTAAAAAAATAGTCAAGTATATAGAATTTTAAACTGTTTCCCTCTGACTTGAACAGGAGGAGTTGCACATTCTTAAAGGCACGCTGTTCATGAGGTATATGCTTCGGTGTCCTGCCTTTAAGGTGGTACTTCATGTTTGACATTCGTACAGTGGCTGATATCATTATTAGCGCTCAAATGAGCTTTGGTGCACAGTGTTGTGGAGGAATGAATCCTCCTCAATTAGTTAGGAAAGCTTTTTTGATTCTACGTTTGTTGTAATAGTGTGTAGAAAAAATATCATGTTACAACCAACCGTTTGTATCGATAAAAACAAATATCTAGTCAATGTTAATGCTGGGAATGTTAAAAAATGGGGCATCTAATAGCTTAACCCTCGTTCTAGACAAGCCTGGACATAAACACAGGCTTGTTCTGGTGTCTTTTCTTCGATCAGCAGTAAACATGTACTACAGAATATACTATAGGGTAGATCGAGCTTGTCTCCATGCCGACCTACACTTCAGTGCCCCGTTAAAACAGATATTAACTAAGATAGTTCCAATTTGCTTCTGTGTACCAAGTTGAAGTTTCTACAGTTGTAGCAAAGGGAACCTGTAGCTCTCTTGACTTGGCTACTAAGAAAGCATGTACTATTTGCTTGTTGCAAAAAACAATCATAAATCAATTTTCGGCTGTGGCTAAGTGCTAGAATAGAAATTGGAGTTTTCATAGAAGAGACGATTTCAACCTAATTTAACTTAATTCTTCTAATTCATTTTCTAGTTCTTTTAATTTTTGAAATGTGCACAAAGACCAACTCAATTACCGATGGTATCGTTTAATTTGCAATCAGTGATATACCACAGCTGCCACATATATATAAATACTGCATCTTTGTACGTAGAGCAAATGCGAGACTCTCGCGAGACGGCGCTGCCAGATTTAATTCCACATATATATATATTTTTTATAAAATATTTGTTATTAGTGTCCTATAAGCCAAAGTGATTGTTTTTGTATGTTTCACTTGCAGAACTTATAATTTCTAATTTGAAACTATAACATTTTTACTTTAATAAAAAACATATTTTAAGGTTATAATTTTATAATTTTAAGGTTATAAGCTGCAATAAAAATATTTGCACTTTGCAAATAACGGATACCACAGGTTCACATCAATTTCCGGCAATGCAGAGATTGTCGATATCGAAAGGACATGCATTCATATTGGTGTACTCAGTGTGCTCAAAGCAGAGTTTAGAGGAACTTCGACCAATATGGGCATTAATTAAGGAGCTTAAGGTACTTATGCAATTATTTCCATAATACCATTTGTGTAAAAATATGTAATTAGAATAATCAACAACAGGGACAGGATATTGCCAATATACCGGTAATGTTGGTGGGTAATAAATGTGATGAAAGTGCTGAATTACGTGAAGTCTCACAAGTCGAAGGACAGGCACAGGCCACCGCCTGGAGTATATCATTTATGGAAACATCAGCCAAAACTAATCACAACGTAACCGAGCTTTTTCAGGTAAGTTACGTTTTATATACATACAAACACACATACACAGATACATATAAAGAGCATTCTATCACACAAACCTGAAGATGAAGAATTTTTTTTTTGCTGAGTCCTTTTTCTTTCCTTACAGGAACTGCTTAATATGGAAAAGACGCGCACAGTTTCACTGCAATTGGATACCAAAAAACAAAAGAAACAAAAAAAAGAAAAGAAAACCAAGGAAACTAATGGTGCTATACCGGAAAATGGTGAAGGCACCAGTGGTGCCAAAGAGAAATGCCATGTTATGTAAGACTACAGTGAGTCGAGCTAACAAAACAAAGGAAGTCGATGAAAAGTTTTTGCTTGCACAAGGCATGAGGGGAGAGTAAAGAAACCAATTTGCTTTAATTTATACTCGTCGAAGTTAAGTTTGCTTTATATTCGTATTTTTAAGGAAATTTTACTCATTGATTTAAGCGTTTATTATAACCGAAAATTAGTTTAAAGGTTTTTATTTGATATGTAATTTAATTAGAAATTAATTTCATTTTCATTCATCAAAACGCTTAGGTTCACATTTCTGTAATCAGTATGCCTTTAATAAGTAATATTCATCTCTTATTATTTATTTTTTATTTTTATTTTTTTTTTTAAGGATAACTTTTCACTGACCTCAATTAGCGATTTTTCGCCTTTTTTCTTTTAATTTTATGGAATTCGTTACGATAATCCTACTGCAGCGTATATTCTAATCTATTTTGTTATGCACTCGTATAGATTAAGATACAAGGTTGAATCATTAACTCTTACCATAAACTCTTCCTTGCTCCATACTATCCCAATCGATCAAATCCCAAGTTAAAGATAATAGTTGAGATGGTAAAAAATCATTGACTCTTAACATATCCTGCTCTTAGTGCTTTCAATTTTTACCCCATTTATTTAAAGAATTTATCTGTAATAAATATGTTTTGTTTTCCAAAGTTCAAACTCGAGGGCATTCCTGAAGAAGAATACCTCCTTGATTTGAGTCAAATCTACTTCCGCGAAAGTAATTATTTAGATTTTGAACATTTTCGTCATAAGGACTACGTACATCTATAGACTACCTTGACGGAAAAGCATATTTTTCCTAAACTTTTTATTTTTTGAACTTCGTTGAAACCATTGTGTAAGTTCTCAAAGTATTCATTAGTGTTTACGTTTGATTTCTTCAACAAACTACCTGAAAACTCCTTGTATGGGACGCCTAATAGATTTTAATTCACTTATGATTACCTTAATGGAGGCAATCATTATGCGGCCACGTTAACAATCTTACATAAATCTTTCTAATACCCAGCTAATAATGTAAACTTCAATACTTATCTGCTTATAGCTTCTTTAATCTATGACCGTGCAAAATCGAGACTACTTATTAAACCTCAAAAATCAATTGAATATATCGAAAACCATTGATCTACTTGTGACTTCAGTACTTTCAAACCAGCCCACTATGCAGAGTACAAGTTTGGTTTCCAATTATGTAAATAAGAATCTACTGAATCGTATGATTTGTCTGTTATCTTTATTATCTTATAACCAGCTAATCATTCAAATCTATATCACTTCCGTACACGTCAAGAATTTCTAAATTAGCATACGATTGTTTATCTATAAAAAGAAACATGGCTATATAATCAGGCATAAATCTTTTTCATATACAGCTAATAATGCAAATTCAAAATTTGTTTCTAGATTCTTTAATCTTTGATTATAATCGAAAATCGAAACTACTAATTAATCAATCCAGTGTGTCCAAAGCCAATGATCTACTTGTTTACTTCTTGAATCTCTCAAACTGAACATGCAAAGTCAAAAAATGAGTCATATGATCTGCATGTAATCTTTACATTCTCTGAATATGCGAAATCTAAGTCATGTGATTTTTCTGCAACCTTAATAATCTCATATGCCAGTTCATCGTACAAGGTCCAAAGTACTGAGCCGTAAGATTTGTCTATAGACCAAACAATCTCTGACCATGCGAAATTCAAACTACTAGACCGTGTGATCTGTCTGTGATCTCTATAATCCCATAATCTATTTATAATGTAAAAAAAAAACTTCTGAGCTGTATAGCTGTTCTCTACAATATCATACTCAACTGATCATGCAAAATCAAAAGAAGTGAGATATATAATAT